ATCGCTACACAGGAATTACCATGTTTCAAAAGCAGAATCCAAAAACTTCAAATTCAATTATATTAAATTAAAAGCATTGGTTCTGTTTCATCTTCAAGCGAATTTTGGAATCTTTTGGAAATTCTAAAATTCGCTTGAAGATGAAACAAATCTAATGCTCTTAATTTAATATAATTGAATTTGAAGTTTTTGTATTCTGTTTCATATATATATATATATATATATATATATATATATATATATATATATATATATATATATTGTTCAAACATATATTGGGAAATGTAACAGACCACGGATGTCTATTATATCTTATCATGAGCCTTTCCAAGAGTCGTATAATGGCTTTAGTTTCAAGAGAAAATAAAGACAAAACCGTCCAACATTTGGATATTTCTTTGTTATATTGATCGTCGATCTAAGCTTTCGACTCACATGGGCCATCTTCAGAGTGCTTATATGGACATTACAACAGAGATGTTCACCATCTAAGATCACATCCTGTTATATTTCCATAGAAATTTGCTGTATAACGATAACTATCACAGAAAACAGACGCAGGTCGTAAACAGAACCATGTGTTTAAATACAATCGAATATGCTGTGACTGGTTTGAAATGTAATTTTGGTGAGTGTGGGTTGCTTTGTTTTAATATAGATGGCCACTAATACATTGAGTTTTTTGTTTTTTTTATTGTGTGCACGTGTGTATATTGTTGTGTTTTCAACTAACATCTGTCTAATATTATGTACAAAGCTATGTTTTTTTCTAAGAAATGTTTTTTAATGGAACGACGATCAGAAAGGTGACAGCGAACATCTTGTAATGTTCATATAACCACACCGATGATGACTCATGTTAGCCTAAAGCTTAGATCGACGACCAATATAATAAAGAAATGTTCAAATGTTGGACAGTTTTTTTATTTGTTTGTTTTTTTTTTCTCTTGAAACTAAAGCCCTTATACGACGCTTGAAACGGCTCATGATAAAACATAATAGATGTTCGTTGTCTGTTATATTTAACAATATATATTTGAACAATGATCTGCTGCCCCTATATATATATATATATATATATATATATATATATATATATATATATAATCGACTCTCCCGTCGAGATTCGACGTATGAGGGTCAAGCAGATCAGTTTCAGGAAACTGACAGCCGACACCGGCACATGAGATTTGATTATAGTGGTGAAGACTTCGTGCAGGACCATCTACACTTTTTGAAGGGACGAATACAGAGACCTGGTGCACTGAGTGCCACAGGTTTCCCAAACGACCCTCCGCAGGTTTTGAATTCAGAGTTGTCCTTCTCCTAGACCAGTTGCCATCAAGGCTATATATATATATATATATATATATATATATATATATATATATATATATATATATATATATGTAAGCAAATATATGGATATAGATCCGACAGTATGAAGAAAATATACTGAAAAACAAACAAAAATCCTAATATGCCAATCCAAACTGTTTTAATGTTTAATGTGATCGTCGGATTGGTTTTGCTTTTATGTCCATCGTCAGGACATGTTGAATTGTATATGGTTAACATAATTATGTACAATTGAATACGTCCTGAAGATGGACTATAAAGACCGAAACGTCTGACGTTGACATTAAAACAGCATAATCGCATATTAGGATTTTTGTTTGTTTTTTTCAGTATATTTTTTCATATATATATATATATATATATATATATATATATATATATATATATATATTATCACGTCATTTTATTGGATACCTGTATCTGATTCTTTTTTTGTGGGGGGAATAAACAGTGTTTATTACGTCTACCAGTCTGCACAATCGAAAAAAACTCCCAAAACAAATTGGTGCTCTCCTGCAATGTTTCAAACTAACGTTACTTTTTTAAGGAGACACCACTCGCTGATCCGATGTGCTCTGAGCGAACCGTCAGTGTAACTAGACATCCAATGCCTCAAGCCAGGCTCGAAGCCCAACTGATTTGGTGTCAGTCAGAGCTTCCACCACTGATTTATCTTAAATCTAGTGTATTGTTTTTACGAATGTAAACAAATGCCAATCAACAAAGTGCTCCATTAATTTCACTGAAGAGTTTTGCATTACCGCAGTTGGCTGTTGTTTACAGAATTAGCTTTATCACTCAACAGGGACCTATTGAAATATATTTTCAAGAGTTAAATTACGCCATTCACAGAGAGTACTGTTTACATTTAGGAACGATCTACCAAACTCCATCCGCAAATTACAAGTAGAAAATATAAATATAATAGCCTCATTCACACGTAAGAAATATATGAAAAATAATGGAACCCCTATTAATAAAAAAGAACAAGCCAAACATGTATTAATATTAATTATAGGCACATTCACGGGGTGCTGATCATGGTTGCTAAATAAAAAAATGAAAAAAAAAATCCTTTAATTCTAGATACATACATAAGAAATGCACACATTCAGTAAAAAAATAGAAATCATGCTATAATTCTAGGTACATACATAAAAAATCCATGCATTCAGTTAAAAAATAGAAATCAACCTATAATTCTAGATACATACATAAAAAATTCCATACATTCAGTTAAAAAATAGAAAT